TCTGAATGCCACATGCCAGCCACACGGACACCTGGGTAAGCCAAAGGCCTGAGAGTGCTGGTTAAAGGAACATGCAACGGGGTTCAACCATCAAATCCTCCAAGGCACAAAAGGTGGAACTGACTAACAAGTATCACCAACTCAATATGGTCGTATGTTGGGTCCTCGGCTTAGCCCAGATGCCATTGCAGTGTAAGGAATAGCAGGTACAAGTCTGTGCGTCCATAGACTCTTCCACTCATTTCTATATCTTCGTTGGCTAACGTCGAGAAATGAACCGTAGCCCCCTGCTTACAAGTTGCATCGAAACGCCAACAAACAGGTTTCCTCTGATTCGAAGGGGTAAACGGGTAAACATATATATATATAGGCATATATATGCACACACACACACGGGAACTCTTCCGCCTGCAGCCGGCACTGGGGCACCCTGAGGGCTTTGGCCAGATCAATGGCGCCCTGGAAGCCGAATGCATTGCCTCAGCAGAGCATCGGCGGAACGGCTGAAGCTCTGGGTGTGCGAGCCATGTACGTGGGGTTGGGTGGAAAAATCAGGATGCACAGCTGGTATTTTTGATCTGCTTGAGGATGCTGATACAGCTATTGTCTTGGTTTGGTTCCATACACTCTTGCGGAAATCACACAACATGCTTGGGGGAAATCGGTGAATCCTGCATGTGGTGTGACTGATCACACCCTCCCACAGAACGTCCACCAAGGCACGGTCCAAGTGCAGCACCGTCAGTTCCGGCGCCGCCTGCAGCGCAGCAGCCAAGCAGGCTCCAGCGCTGCTGGAAAGACCGCAGCGGCACAGGTCGAGGGAGTCTAATGCCTTGGCCGAGCCGCATAACGAACACGACCCGGTTGAAAAGACCGTCTTCGGAATCTTGAGTAACTTGCGAACATGCGAGATTGAATTACAGCCCTTTAGCCTGCTAGACGATCACGAGGATTTCTGGAAGTCGCACCACACAGAAACTGACAGGTGAATTCCAGCTTTTTCAACGTGACCTTTTGGAGTGCCTGAGTGACCTCGTATATGCCTAAGTGACTTGGTTCTCATCTGGGTGAAGAGGTGGACGTGATGTGCGTGCATTCCGAGAAACACTGCTGGCCAAAGCTGAGCCAAGCTCCTAAAAATTGCACAAGTTTGATTCAGCGCAAAGTCTTCTGGCACAGGAGTTCATCAAGCACAGGAGGTTATCGCGTTATCATGTTGCAACTATCAGCTGCCTCTGCAATCTTGACTTCCATGCTTTGCTTGCAAACATTCAAAGCTCTCCGAAAGATTCATGACAAATACGATGTTTTGGGTGTATTATATTGCTACTTATATTACTCTATATATATTACTGTAGTGGGAAATACAACGCCCAAATCTCGACGCCCCGTCCCCATAGCAAGAGCCCCGAGACATGTCATGTGCGTGATCTCAGGCTGACCTGGAAGACTTCCCAAGTTACGCCTGCAACACCAAGCTTGGCAGCAACACCCATGAAGAAAAGTTTGGATCAAGAGGCTGAGCCAAAACTGCATTAGGCTCATTATCCACCAATGCAAAAGAAAATGGAAGACATCCCTGTTTTTTGGACTTCACTTGAGAGAGGAGGGAGTGAACGAAAGGTAGCAGGCAATCACAAGTAACCCTGGTAGAAGTCCATGACGGCGTGAACCGGCGCAGGGGGATCTGATCCAGGGGGCCCCCCCCCCGACGAACACCATCATCTCTTACAGGGCCAAATTCAATGCACAATCCCAACTCCAGATTGTAATACATTTTTGCTAATGCAAGGAGAACTCAGGTAGCTCAAGCTACCTTTCGTGACCTGTACCTGCCAGAAAACAACAGCTGAAGGCCATGGTGATGAAGAAGCGTGGTGCAAAGCAGGCCAAGGTTTCCAAGAAGCGTGCCCAGAAAACCAATGCGGCCAAGGGATGTGGTGGGAATGGTGCATCATGTACTACAAATCTGGGCCAGCCTAGGCAGTGAGGGTGAAAAATTGGCCTCAACTTTTTCCAAGTTTTTTGCAGGGATGGCACGGATGCCAAAGAGATTTGTGAAAGGGCTGTGAAGCAGCTGTTGGCTGGTAAAGCTGCTGACAAAGTCAAGCAGTGGGCCAAAGCACAATAAGAAGGCCGGACAGCCTGAATAATACCATTGTACTGGCTGACCCCTTTTTCAACCGGCAAAGGGGTCACTTACGAATCGAGGGTCACTTACGCATCGGAGGGGTCACTTACGCATCGACAATCGGATCACTTACGCATCGATGGTCATAACATCACATCTTACATCCGTGCACAACTCACAACCGACACACACACACACACACTTCTGTATCATCTACGCATTCCCATTCTTCTGTGATCCAAGGCTTGCCATCGAGGTGGGTGGGTGGGTGGGTGGGGTGCGATAATGGAGTGATTGGCCCATGGCCACATCATCACATCTTCCATCCGTGCGCAACCGACACACAGAGAGTTCTCTATGACTAAGGATGCAAGTCCTTACGGCAAACCGCACGGAAACCTTATACAAACATCAGCTAAAATAATTGTGTGTATTGACGTTTCACCGGTACCTTACTCAAAATGAAGAGGGGAAGTTAAAACGCTGCTCATGTGTAGCCAAGCCAGAGATACCTTGTGTAGAGATGACATAAGAGTTGAGGCTCAAAGTGACATACTGAATGGCTAGGTTAAGTCCTAAAGCCCGACGCGCAAGCGACCCCTTGCCCTTTTCAACCACCCCTCGCCAGATCAGCCAATACAAGTATGGCAAGAGAGGTCGTGTCTTCCTTAATCCCCCGACCGATCCCCTCCTCCACATCCATTCCCACATTCCCTAACAGCTGCAGCTGCCGCAAGGCCCCCTGCCCCGACGCCCGCAAGAGCACTGGAGCCGCTAGGCCCACTGAGCACAAGGAGAGATCCAGCTCGGCCAGATGGGATCCTCCGGTTCACTGACTACTCTGACTACTATTCACGTGGAAGTGGATGACGGCCCCCTGGAAGATTACATGGCTGTGCCATCCACTCCCATGTTGGTGAGTTGGAGTGTTGCAAAACTGCTTGGTGGTCACATCAACTCACGAAACTGTTCCATATCAGGCGAAACAAATGGCTCCATCACCCCCAAGTACATGGTTTTTCATCGACGTCACCCACCGACGCCACACACGTCCGCCACGCGGGCGTTCGAAGGCGGCCGGCTGGGCTTCCGTGGAGCGAAGTCGTTGAAACACACACCGAGACGGTGGCCGAACACCGGGGAGGTTGGAAGTCGCGGGAGTTTGTTCAGGTGGTTGGTGTGCTGGTTGGAGTGTCAACACCGTGTTTTCATCATGATTTCTTCCACCAACATCTGGACATCCCTGATGTTTGTGTGATGTAAAGAACACCCAGGAACCATTGGTCAAAGGCGCCCTCTGGTCAAGGTGCATCAAACAGGGTTTGGGACCATAAAGAGCTTGTATTTGGGTGATGTAGCATCTTTGTACAGTCCATAGATCCACATCCACATCATGCCTAAACTATCACTCTCAGTCGAGGATTCTAAACCCTTCGACCAAATATGTAACATCTTCACCAAACCATTATTTTTTCTGACAGGCTTCGATCAAATTGCCCCAAAAAGCACACGGGTCACTCAAACACACCATTTTTCAGAAACATAACACCATCATACACCATCCTACTTTAACCTTTTCTCGCCCAACTCACCATCCTCCGCCACCCCTCGTGTGGACCATCCGTCCTTCTTGCGCCAGCGCCGTCGCCAGGCGCTGCGCAGCTGTGGCGCCAAAGGCGCCGTTCTGCCGGAGCTTCAAGGTCTCCAGACCTGTGCGACGCGGCGCTGGCCGTCGTTTCGAGGACGACTTGACTCGTGGAGCAAAGGAAGCGCTGTGAAGCGCCGTTCCAGGCACTAGTTAAACATAGTTGAGCCATGTTCGAGAGGTTTAGACATTGAGTTTTGTGGGAAAGAAGGCCTGTCAAAGGTTTTGCGCTATTGCTGTCAAAATTAGCGTGACGATGAACAGCGGTCAACATGCAAACATCAGCGATATAATAGCTTGTGAAAGGTTTGGTATAAGTGATCAAACATAATTGTTTTAAAGGTGGTTGAACTGCATATAGTCGTTCTAAAACCGTTCTAGTCGATAGGCCACTGGGATGGTGTCGCGCAGCATGGGGAAATGGGGTCATCTGTGACACGCATACAGGGATCATCCTGCGACACTCCGCCATTTAACTGTTAAACAAGAACCAGGAAGATTAAGCAGCATATTTAAACACAGTCGAAGTTCGCACCAATGATGTCCTATATTGGAACATATTGGAAATGGAAGGATCGATGAGGTGCCAAAGGGTGAGCTCAACTCGGGAGACCTCCCAGGCAAAGACTCCGAAGCTTCGGGAAATTGACCAGTCTACCCAGGCAGGGCGCCGACTGGGGGTCTCCCTATGTCAAAACACGTCCATAATAGTCTAGTCCTTAGTAAAGCAGAAGGAGAATTGGCCGGAAGGGCTCCCACCCGCCACGGGCGCCAGTCCAGTTGAGCCCAGTGGCGGGACTCTCCCAGGTAACCAACGAAGAGCTCCCAGCCTTCCACCGTCACCATCCTCGAAGGGTCGAGGAGGATGAAGTGCGTGGTGAAAACCGAGGATGGCAGGGCGCTGTGTCGGTGTGTCTCAAGGAAGCTCCCCAGAAGCAGTGGGTGAACTCTAGAGGAACGTTTTTACATATTTAAAAACATCTTGTGGTCGAGTTTCCGGAAACAGGCACAGGAGTTTCCGGAAACAGGGTGCAGCGTGAGGGCATCACCAGCTGTGGGCCCGTCGTGTCCTCAAACTTGCCTTTCAAGAGAGTGAACCCAACACGTATGATCATATGCGTGAGGAATCTGTTGAATATTGTTGAATCCTCCAACATGCACGTGTCCAATAAACATGCAACATACTGCCAAGCATCTGCAACAGTAGACTGAAGTTTCATGACTTCATCCCAGGCACTTCAAATGTGAGAGCTCCAGCAGCTTCAAAGGACAGCCACTGCCCAGGACCTGCAGGACACCCGCTCCCTCCCCGGTCCGATCCGGGACCAATACATGACACACACGTCCTCGTGACACCGGCTGCGAACGTCCTCGTTTGCCGCATGGCGGTGTGTCACGTGTCATGTGCCCCTTTTGCGGTCCGGACCCGTGCGACCCGACTCACGGCCTCTCCAAAGGCCTGAAGCCCCAAGTCGCTGAAGAGGTTCCCGCTGAGGTTCAGCCTAGTCTGGCTGAGATGTTTCATCTTTTTGCCCCCAGTACCCATGTCCTCCATGTCTGGAAGAAAATGAAGAAATCATAAGCAAGTGTAGATTAAGATCAGTGAATCCCACAACTCCAATTTCAGAAGTCGACCCAAACATCGGGGCCATGTCACCAGTTCTTGTCACGCATCTTCAAGACGGGGCAAGGCCACAAAAACCAACGACATGCTTCACATCGTTTTCACCTGATATGTTCATATACTGTTTCTGCTGCGTTGGAACGACCCCAATGCCAAGAAGGGCACCACTTCTGTCCACGACGCGGAGACTCCATGAGACTGTCAGGGTGGAGGCCTACCCCCTGTCCCGCTGGCACCCAGCTTGAGGTGTTTTACGAAAGCCACAGCCTGGTCACCTGGTCATCCTCATCAAACAAAAGAAGTACACATAATATACATACATACATAGCTAGCTAGCTCATTTCATGACGCATGCGACTGTCCAACGCACTTGGTTGAAGGGGATCGTCATCTACGTTTCAACATGTGTTACAGCAAATTCTGATCTTGAAAACAACAACCACTACCACAACAACAACAGTAGTAGGGCCCTTGGCAAGGGTAGTAGCCCCAGTGGGAGCTTGGACCGTGCTACACGTAGAAAATCGAAATCCCTGTTCACAGGGGTACCCATGCTGGCATGTTTGTTCTGGTGCCATGTCCCTGTTTGGAAGGGTACACCTTTGAGACTACGAGTACCTTCCGCCGGCCAATGGCAGCGTCAGTGGCTCTACCAACTGGTAGCTCTCATTCTCCTTCCTCGGTCAGCGACAAAACAATGGATCTTCGATCCATGGATCATGGAAATAGCATGAAATAGGCAAAGAATGCATGTACGTCTCCAAACCAACCTTAGCTAAGAGTGGCCGGATTGGGCCTAGGACTGAACGAGCTTGGATGGAGCAAACGTCCAAAACCTCACTCTTCGTGGACGTCACCATGTCACTCCCCACCGGAGGGCGGACAAACGACCGTCGCAACACATAGCGAGACCAGTGCGGGCAACGACTCGGTTCGAGAAAGAGACCAGTGTGACCCATGGGGCCAGGGAGGCCTCCCGAAAATACACCCAATACATCCATTTGGGAGAGTTTGTCAGGGTCAGGTTGATGGTTGTAGGTAAGGATAGGTAAGGTAAATCATGGTAGAATACCTGAAACACGGAGTACTGCATGGAGTGGGATGATGAAGCAGTCCGACGAATAAGCGGTTCCGCTTTTTGTGGGATGTTTCACCCAAGGGAGATCCTACACCAAACCACCTGCTGGAACGTAGACGGGTATGTTTGGCCTGGTTTGCAACGTCTCCGTGAGACTTCCCTGTGCGACTGGCGGCCTTGGGATTTTTCTTTTTCGGTCGGACCGGCCAGTTGGTGGGTGCAAAAAGAAGGCATGGTGGCTGCCAGCAACTTCTGCTGCCGGTCCTGTGGCTCGCCCGACGTGAGCTCTGTCGTTACTAATAGTCTCCTTGACATGGAACCTGAGAACCACGTCGGGTTGTAGAATGTTGTAGAGACAAATCGTCTTCCAGTCTGGTCCATGCCATCAGGTTCCAGGTTAATCTTCCCAGGTGTATCCCTGTTCAATAAAGTTGAACCTCTGTCAAGAAGAGAGCCACATCGCAAGTAGAGGATATCCTCAAAATCAGCATTCCAGGATATTCCAGGGCACTTCCCTACCTTCAATGAGTGCAATAGTCACTACAGTAAATGTCACTATACAGTCTTACCTTCTGAACATGTCCGAGTTCTAGTTTCGTCGGATTTCTTTTTGACCTCCTCCCCAGGTCCCTGTGCCGTCTCTTCGTTCGTGTTCCCACCGTGCGCCATCCCAGCGACCAAGCGCAGCTCAAAGCGGACGCCAGGGCCTCAGTACCCACGTCGCCCAGCTCGTTGTTCCGCAAGTTCACCGACACCAACGACACATTCCTGGCTGGTGTCGGTGAGACAGGTGCGTTCCAAGTCTGCTTTGAAGACTGCAGACTGGGGCAAAAAATATTGGTGACCTCGAGTTCAGGAAAAGAACAGTTAGATGCATCATTTTATTAATATACAGTATACAGTATATGTATGAAACATCAGCATCCATCCACAAACGCATGCATCATCCAATGTTCAACAGCTGGTGTCGAGTGCGGCGCATGCAAACATCAGGTTCGTGTTGGGTAGAAAGCTCGTATCCCCAGCCTCTGCAGCGCGCCCGCCACGTAGGCGATGCCAGCATCAGTTAGCTTTGTACAGGCCTTATCCAGCAGTGGTGTTGAAGGGGTGAATTGTGAATACAACACTCCCGGAAACTAACATGGACCTGAGAATGGCACCCTCAAAACCAGTTGTTCCTCTACAAACCAGTGGCTTTCAGGGTCTATGTTAGTTTTCAGTGGGGTAGGGGGTGAGTTAAAAACCTGTGGCCAAAACATGGACATGTCACGTGGACCCCACTTGCTAAACTTAATGGAAAAGCAAACCCAACTCCAAAGTCCGTCTACCAATTGCACACTCACACGCACAGGGATGTCACTACGAAACTAAGGTGAAACAAACAATTCTGGTAGTTGTAAACTCACTTCCAAGTGAGAATCATCATGAATCATCCCCCTGTTGAACGATCGCATACTTGAATTCGCGCTAGCCGAGAGGCTAAATTCAATTCCCGAAGACTTTGATGCGGTAGCAAAGCGCGAGCAAGCCTGGCGAATCACCAAACGGGACCCTTGAACGCGAATCAGGGAAGACCTCACCACGGATTTGTGAAACCAAAGGGAATGTGATGCTGTGATGCAGCCACTGTCAGTGCTCTGGATGCTCTTTCTTCTATATACCCAATTATATAGTCCTTCTGCGTCCGGAGACTGTCAAGGGGTGTGCAAACCAAGAGTTCCCTGATGCTTTGGAGGACCTTGACACACAGCCTGTTGAAAAGGTATCTGTGTACTTCTGCTACAACACGTACAAAAACGGACTGCATACAACAACTAAAACATCACATGGTTCTTGCCAGGATGATCCATTCTCTTTCCTCATGAGACCCTTGGTATCCCTTGGTCCCTTCCCGACGGGCGGCACCTCTGAGCACCTTTGCGGCCCAAGTCTTGGCCTTGGAGGTCCAAGGTTTCTTGCTCCTCCGCCAAGACCAGCGACATGGCGGGGCTCTCGGGCGGAGGCTCTGCGGAGCAACATCTTCGGAGCATGTGTCTTTTTGTTGAAAGCTGGTTGACTAGTTGTTGGAACATAGTAGATCCAGTCTTTGGATGATCCGAGAGAGTCAGGTGTGGCAGGATTTTTGGATTCACAACATGTCTATCAATGTTCATGTTCATGATTCATGAGTGCAAAGTAGTGCAAATGTTCATGAACCACGTGACCATCTCCTACATTTGCCTACTCCTGCTCCCAAGCCCCTGGCTGTACCGCCTGGTGGCTGCGTTTTTTCATCCTCCGGTGGCTTGGTTTATATATCAACAAACATCATTGGTGCCTCTACTATTCTGACTATTCCCATAGCCGATCATCAATTAATTATTGAATATTGTGTCATTCTCATAGGTCATAGACGAGATATCTATATCTAGTCGATCAGCTGAATCAGCTGTGACATTTACTCATCGGTCCTATGACATTTGGGCCCTGCCTCTGGCGCACTGCCTGTGGCGCACCGTGAGGAGCCGACAATGGTTAGCGTGGACCACCACGGCATCTGACACCGAAAGCGTTTGCCGGACGAAGAATGAAAAAGCGCTCTAGCGGCGCAGCTTGGCAAATCGGATTAGGAGGCACATGTTGGATTTGAATTGAGAGCTCTCCAAATTACAATTCAATCAATCAACCAAACTATACACATGACACATGCCTTGGCTGAAAGCAAATGGACCAAATCACTCCAATATCTCCATGCATGTGGCTTGGGACATCCAAAAAAGTATATAATTCCGGGAGGTCCCAAATGATCAACTTCACATTGCTTCAAAATCAAGTGGTCCCAAAACCTTGACTTTGGAGGAACACACGGGTCACCGTCTCACCATGTCTCACCCGTTCTGCTCGGCTCGCGCGTTTTTCTGCGCCACCACCGCGTCGGCCTTTTGTTTGTCGACTCGGAGGTCGAATTCACGCCGGCAAAACTCATGGCATCTGTACAAGCAATGGCATGCGAAGCATTGAATTGCTAGGACTTGCGATGTAAATTACGTTGTTTGCTTGCCTGGGTCAAGTCCTACGATCTGGTGAGCTTGCCAACAGAACCGGCAGACCCGTCGATTGAACAACATCTTGAAGCACCACATGAAAGCAATAGAAACAAAGGAATTGGGGTGGGGTTGACTGTACATATATCCCGCTGCGGCACAAATGGAGGCTTTTAGACGAGCCCGGGACAGCATTGCGTTCTGACCATGAAATTGACACGCCGTAACGCTCCAGTTGAGCAATTTTGGATCACATTGTGAAATGTATGCTGTGAGCGGGCACGGAGGCATCTTTGTTTTCAGGGCTCATATTCACTGACTGTCTCGAATGTTGATCGAATCCTTATTAGTCAAATGGATGGGGGACGGTCTTTACTAATTAAGATCGGACATGAACCTCAAACCCTCACGACTTGCTGTACCCGTCGATTGCTGATTGCCCATGGAGACTGGCCGGCGGCCATGTTTGTTCTCTCTAAACGGCGCATCATGCGTTCACATCATGCGGCGCCTAACGCGTTGGATGCATTGACCATTCAACCAAACCTTCCGATCCAACGGCGGTGCCTGCAGGAACAGGTTCGGTGCCTGCAGGTGTCGGAACTGAAGAATGAACCAGTTCCACCCCGAATGCGTTCGTATAGATGTGGATCGATCTGAATACGTAGTACTGAAGTGATGTGCATGGAGTATTGGGGCGAAAATGCGTGCGCATGAACTGAAGCTATTGACTGGAATGTGGTCTCTGAGGGCCTACGCCCGTGAATGTTAGTCGAATTAGCTCGCATGCCGTTGCCTTTAAAAGTTGCTTGTGTGAGCCTCGCAAAAAGACTTCTGCCAAGCGTGACACCCGATGGTGGAGCACCCGATGGTGGAGCACCCGATGAACGATGCATGATGCACTGGCGTGAGGGATTCCTATCTGCCGCACTCTGGGATTTACCTGGAATTCACGTGGTCAATCATGGTCATTAGGTAATTCAAAACATGGACATGGCAACAAAGACCATCAACAAAAAGAGGCAGAGGCCTTTTCCTCTTCAAATTGGGGGCCATGATCGAAATCTTGAAAGGACAGGTGCTTGGGAAACCAACATTAGGAACAAGAAGCTACGTTCGGGCTCCTGGTATCGCTACTATTACTAGGAGCAAGGACGCTACTAGGGGCTCCTGGCCTTACTACTAGGAGCAAAAAAGCTATACGTGGAATCTCCATGTTCACTCCGTGGCCGTTCGGGCTCGAAGATAGATAGGATGGATGGTCCTGGTTCCTCATCGGTGAAGGTAAAACAACTGAGCTTTGAATAGCTATGATGAGCATCCCTCATGTTGATGCATCAGCTTGGCACTGAATAGCATCTTGGACCGCACGGCTGGACTCACACAGTCAAAGTGTTGGGAAGAGGCCGGCAAGCAGCAAGCAGCCGGGATCTCGCTCGAAAAGAGGGAACAGCCAGTTGACCAACATGTCGTGAAACTTGACAAATGACTTACTGCAATTGCCCCAGAACAAGTTTCAGACCTGTCACTATACCCACAACATGTTGCTGAGTGAGGAGTGTGTCTGGAAGGAAAAAACCTGGTGCTTACTTACATAAGTACACTTTTGTGTGTGTTTATGGTGTTCTTGGTCAAAGGCTCTTACATCAATAATCATTAATAATACTCGTCGTTACTCGTGCATGACCCAATTGTGGCTTCTCAGGAGTAACACAAATTCAAAAGCTCTTGCCACCGCTGGGAATTCGGGCCAGAAGTGTTGATGGAGAATACATGAGAATACTCAAAGATCTGCAATGAACAGAAAGAATTATCATGAATTATCATATTACCCTGAGAGGATCAACAAATTCACCCAATTGAGCCTTCAACCGTTTGACAAACAAGGGCCTCCCTGCACATCGTCACGACGGCCTTGAGGAAGGAGTATGTTAGTATGTCTTGACAGAACAAGTCTCAAACCAAACCATGCCACCAATGCTTTGGATTGTTCTGGGCCAACGAAGCGCAACATGAAGCAAATGATGCCTAAAGTCCTGTAACCCCTTTCGAAGCCGCCACAAAGAAGAAGACTATGACATGCACTCAAAGAAGGTTGTTTTACATGTTTATTAGATGGTTTTTTAGATGCTTTTTAAAGTGCCTGGGCTCTGCTTGTGCCCTGAAGGATGCCTTCTGCATGACTCATGCACAGGACTTCATATACCCTCTAGCACAACGCCATCGCTCAAAAAGCTCAACTTCTTCACTGTCCAGTCCATCCGATGATCCAAGAGAGATGCCGAGCCGCTGGCCACAAGGCTAGAAGTGTGCCAAAAGCAAGCAAAGAATCAAACCCGTTCGGTCCACAAAAAAGTGACCAAAACATACAAATCGGAAAGCACCTTCGGGGCACATTGGAACATCATATGAAAAAAAGGGAAGACTTCCTAAAAAGGCACGGTTTGAAATGGAATGATTGTCTTTAGACAAGGTCTGGATAAAAAACGAACTAGTCATACGTATTGACGAGTAATTACTGTTTGGAATGCCAATGGATGGCAAATCATGTTGAATAGTTTTGTAAATAGTGGACTTTGGATGGTGAGTGAATAGTCCCTACAGTATAGGGGAGTAGCATGGAGTAGCAAAGTCCCCTGGGCTAACAAAATCCGGATGGTCCGGATGGTGAAGCCAAACTCCTGAAGAGAAGTTTGTTTGATGACATCGTTTGATGAATTCCATGTCTCCTAACAATTGGGGAGGCCTTATTCTGGGCCATTTGCAATCTGGTCACATCAAACAGCACCACGATGCTCCATCAAACAGTACCAACGGCTATTGTGTTACAGAATAGCGCTGCTCCTGATTCTTTGGTGCCGCTCTTGATACATTTGATACCTGCCGCTGCACCGATTGCCTTGTGCAATCAATTCGATGAACCAAAAAACTGCCTCACGGCGGCCTGGCGCTTACGACGCTGCTGAGACCCCACTCGGCCAGACTGGATTTATTCGCCCGGTCGGTCTCGCTCCGAAGGGTCGCTCTGCTTCACGCTGGTCGGCTTCTGGTGACGCCCATTCGTTGGAGGAATATGTTTTTCCCCCGGAGGTACCGGTCGCTGGTGATATGAAACAAACAAACAATTCCCAAACACGACTAATGGGACTGCCATATTTGCTGCCCGATTAACCCCCCAAACCAACTATGGCCTGCATGGAGTGCTTGGGAATTGAATTACATCCCATGTCATTCGAACTGGCTCGAGTTGGGCACCCTATCCTTCCGCTTTTGGGTGGACACATCGGGTCGGTCATGGCACCTGGAGCCCGACGGTCGTCCGCAAGACCGACACCAGGTGGGTCAACCACTTCACACCCTGCATACCCAGCGTTCCACTGCATATCAAGGTAGGAGCGTTCAAGGAGCGTTCAAACACCGTGTTGCGCACGTCGCGTGAAAAAATGTCTGTGCCATGACCCACAGCCATCTGGTGTCATCCGCTCTGCTCCATGCGCCATGGCTGCATCCGCCTGCGCGGCGCCGTCAAGACGGCTTGGGGCAGCGCTCCTCACCGCCATTGAAGCGGAGCCTCAGACGAGAAGCGATGGGATCCAAAATCTCAGAGGGTAGGTGACTCCCTAGTAGTTGCACTTTTTGGTGTGCCGGGCGCAGTAAATGACCAGCACACCATGCAACTGATGGGTTCGATCATAGTGAGATAACACGACACTCTAACTCTAACAGGTTTATTATTGTTCTCATTGAATATTTATGAATATGTCATAATTGAATAACATACAAATGCAGGGCGATCCAACTTATATAGCTAGGACAGCCGTGTAGAAGCATTGCATGGCAAACCCATGCAGCAGACCTACTGGAAAAAAGGAAAACATGGGAGGACTTCGAAGGACTGTCATGATTTCACTGGAAAGGTCCTTTAAAAGCTGTGGATATTCTATTCATTCAAGCTTATGATGACGCCGTCATTGCTAGGCAGTGCAACAATGAAACATGCTGAAATGTTGGGAGGTCAGGAAGCTCTTTACATTGACACGAGGTACGGCGCGGTCAATATGTATTGTGTGCGGCTGTTGCATCCTCAGATTTGTGAGTCCTCTATTGTCTTCCCATGTTTTGGAGCCGTGTTAAAGGGTATCGTTTTTTGTGAGTCCCTTATCGTTCGCCAGGGTTTGGAGCATGCCCATATCTGCAAGCGTAGTCGTCGCAAATGTTGAAGGCACTTCAGACTTGCTGCCAAAGACCAATCCATCACTCACCATCACAACCCCAACCCGTCACAATCTCAAGAAACCATAGACATTTGCAGATTCCCACCAGTTGTCCAATGGTCTCAATTATCTAGACTACAATGTTTAAAGGACGCCCCATACTGAAAGGGTAGAAGTACATGTTTGCATCAGCACAACTTGCTTGGTGGCCAAACAGTTACTAACAAAAACATCAATGATGTCAATCATCGAATCATGTCGAAACAGCCCCCAGCCCCCTGACTTGGCCTGACTTGGCCCGTCGACTCTTCCGGACCTCTGAGACCCCGTGTGACGTTGGCCATTCGCTCTGAGCCTCCCGGCACCTTGTTGAGGATGGCTGCCAAGGACACGGCTGGCAAACCCGCCTGGCGGCCGATTTCGGTTGGGGGCGCACGAGGCAGGAATACAAACACATGGTTGAATAATAAATACAACCTCGCTGGAGCCGGTCGACGGCGCCTGCATCGCGACAGTGATGTTGTCTTTTTTGCTGCATGAGTAGTCATGTCAACCTAACTCAGCTGAAGTACAATGTCAAGTTCCTCAAGGATCCTCAAGGTATCTTTTTTCTCCCTCTTTGCAATGATCTGACACCGAGCCCCAAAGCAGGAATCCTCAAGGTACTGTGAGGCAAGAAACATTGAACCCTTCATTCTCTTAACGAGAACCCACATTTCACCGTGTGGTGCTTGGAGCTTTGAGGCGGGAGATTGTATATACTTGGAAAATCGGTCGGCTCAACTGCCTATGTTCAAGTTTGACCTTGACTTCTAGGCTACTCTTATTGTTCAAAGGACGAAACATCACAGTCACAACATGACATCTACCCAACATTCACGGATGCAAATGCGGCTTGGGACCATCAATCGCCCCTGACCGAATGGAACTCCCAATGGAATCTTGATGTTGAAAACATGTGAAAACTTTCTCAACCCATTTCACATCCTTTCACCCTTCGGCCATCCAGCTTAGCCGACCGGCCGACCCCCTTCCGAAGCCCATCCTTTCCCCCGCCTGCACAGGCTTGGCACCTGGCAAGGTCACAACGACCGGTCAGAAGACTGGAATGTGGTGAGTTCAGGTGGGCTGGAAGAAAGACATCATAATTTCATAGATTATAGTCGTAGATAGTCTTAGTATTAGATCTATATATATACAGTATATATTGGATCATATGGAATTCCTATTACTTCCTCATGCTTTTGTGTTACAGGAATATCATTGCATGTCCTTTTCAGATCATCTCATCATTCCCGCGAGATCATCTCATCAGTTCAAACTTTAAACCAATTCTGCTTGGGCAGAATCTAGTCCCTTCACGTCCATTTTGGCTCCTCATGGCTCCTCATGCCTCCTCTAAAGTTTTTTTGGGGGGACCTGAGAAAAACCATGCATTTAATCCTGGCGATTAATGGGTCACCCATCCCTTTGCTTAGCTATGCTTAGCTCAGCGGCGTGGGGTGCCCCCAAATTTGGGCGACACCTCCACATGAACGGTGCCGGTGCTGCACCTGCTTCCCACCATGAACACCATGTTCCGGTGACGAGTGTCCCGGTGAACGGCCCCCACCAACGGGGTGTTGGGAGGATAAAGGAGGCGGCACTGGGAAATGGATATGAATTAGAATTAATTAGAGATATGAGTCTGTCACAATAGTGGTGTTAAAAACACACACACACACACCAAGGAGGATGCCTCACAAAGTATGTCATGAAGGAATGAGGCATTCACGAGCAAAGGAGGATCCTTTCCCATGTAAACACATCTCAAGGACAGAGTTTTGGGAAAGGAATAAACTTGCGAAAAGGAACATATTTATGAATCAGTGAATGGTGACACATCTAGGATTTGCACAAAGGCTCTTGTAAAGCATGGATACTTGTTCAAGGAACATGTTTCCGCAGCACAGGATGGTTTTGAGTGGACACTTGCATAAGGGCGAGGTCTAAGAAAACATGGCCAATGTTTTACTATGTGTTAGTGAAGGGAAGGTTTTCTTCAAAAGAAGCTTGGAGTCTTGGGATAGAGGGCAAGCATTTTAGGAGATGATTGTAAAGAAGAAAAAACTTGAAAGGAAGGTGTTTATAATGAAACAGGACACATGTTGACATTAGATATGATAAGGTTGGAAAGTATGCTAGCAAAACACATCAAACATGTACGTGCTGGGATTGCAGGAAACTACTTGGTTGGCTAGATGGGGAAAGGGTGGACTAAGGCCGACAAAAAATGAACACATTTTTCACATCTGAAACATACACCTCCAAAAAGTCACAGTGAACATTTACGAAGAAATAGAAAAAACAGCACAACAAACTTCTGTTCAACAAACAATAGTTTAGGTTGAGGCTATACAGATGTTGTGTCTCAAACGTTGTTGTTTTGTGTGTATGCGGGCAGTGTTTTGTTTTACCATCCCCTAACCGAGCCCAAAAGAACACCTAGCAAACCACAGTGGTTTTGACCGAAAGAACACCTCGCAGTTGGAGAGGTTTTGGTCAGAACGTTGGACTTTGAGCTGGACGCCTCATCTGTATGGCCTCCCCCCTGTGCGGGCGTTCCAACCGCTCCAGGATCGCCTCCGGTCTTCTCGACGATGACGGACTCCAGGTGGCGCTGGATCTCCTGCGCTCGCGGAGTTCGGGCTTCAACGCAAAACACTGGGGATGGACGATCCGTCGATCCATTCTTGCAGGTAGAAGCAGACTCCGGATGACCACGGAAACATTAAAAAAAACAAGCAGAGTCCGATGTGGGCAGGACACCAAGGAGGAGCGGCAGGGTGGCTTCGGTTTCTACTCATGACATCGAGCCCTCACGCGGCCGAGACGAAGCAGTGTCCAGCGGCACCGGCGAGGGTTGAGCAGCACCGCCGAGGTGAATATGACTCCCAGTACGCAACGCCACAGCCGCAACAGGGAAGAAATGGAATGCATCGCATGCTCTAGAACTTTCTGATATTTTCTGAGTGTAGAAGCCTCCCCATATGCCATATCTAAAGGAGCTATACCACATGTTGTTGATGTCTCGAAAATAACTGCACACAAGTGTCATCCCTCACCAAGGGAAAGAGAGTGACCTGCCATGCCAACTCGTGACTTGATCCGTACATATTCCCACCTCTTCTCCCCCAGCCTGTTCCACCGTTTTCAAATATGCTCCGGGACAATCAAATAGGAGTTGTGAAATGTTGGCACAAAAAAACAACTTCTATGTCATCAGGAGAGAGCCTATATGCCATAGTTGCTTTCTCATCAGGTTAAAACATGCAGAAATTAACCTGGCACACACATTTAGAGATTGCATGGTTTGAGGAAGTTTTTCACATTAAACCACACATGATCTAGGAGAATGCCACCATCATAGCATGTGCCAACTAGGGGATGAGATAGAAAAGCGATTGTTTAAATTCCAGGGCAACAACCTATATATGTCATGAGTTCAAGGTTCCTACTCCCTATGTCATCAGCCTTCCACCATACAGCCACGATCTTGACCAAAGTTCGACAAACGCATGCATGACTTCAAAGTTTAGGGCGGCCAAATGGTCCCATGGCAGAACGTCCACAGCTCCTATGTCATCCTGCTGTGTAATTACTACATTTGGCAACCTTGTCTACTGACTGATGACTTGTCTACGCTGTGGCCCACAACTCCTATGTCACTAGCCCAGCAAATTCCTGTCATTCGCCCTAAGTATACTTGTGGCCCATCACCGAAAGGACCCGCCGAAAGGCGGCGATTCGCATCGCATCGCACCTGATGAATCAAGTCGTCTGCATCGCCTCCCATGTCGATCTCCAACCTTTGCCACCCAACTGCGGAAAAAAAACACCGGTGGCTCTGGGTCGTCTGTTGCAGCAAATCTAAGGGTTGCTGAGATCTGGGTGAAAATTTCTAGATGTCGTAAGGGGGCGGCCACGCACAAGTACAGTGCCACAAGTACCAGCCACCAACACTCTATTATTTGCCATTCTTAACGATTTGATACCGTTGGTATAGAAGATAGAAACTCAGAAGAGCCGTGCTGCTTGCTGTAGTCACTCTCGCTGCTGAGCAAGCACCGGTCGCCTCTTTTCCCTCTAGATGCTTTGTTGGAGCCGTGCCGCGTCCGCGGCGCGCCGCCGGCGGAAGTAGAAGCGGCAGGCGCAGCGTGCGCAGATCAAGAGGACGCAAAGAGCGATCCACAGGGGGCCAAGTTGATCCGCCTGCCGGGTCGGCCACCGGTGAACCCGCTGCCGGTCCGCGGTGTCGTGTCACGGAGAAAAAAACAGAAGTCCCGCGCGGGAGGTGCGTTTTGGTGCGGGCTGGACGGCTGATTGGTTGGTTTCACCCTTTCGCCGTCCCAAAAAATAAGGATTGTGGGGGTAATTTAGCTGCGTAAAGCAATTGGGCCTTTTACCAAGGCCCAAGGCTCTCTTTGCGCAACGTGAACTCAAAAATAAGCTGGTTCGAGCTGCAATTGTGCTTGATCTCTTGAGGCCCAGCATTGCCAAATTTAATGCCAGGTGGTCACCGTGTGCTTTTAACTTTAGCCGCATAGCTGCAGCTCTTGTTTGTATGCATGCACGCTCTGTTCCTTAAAATGCTTAAATAACTTAAAATTTATGTCCAACAGCACATTCTGTCCATCCAAAGGGTAACAATATGTAACAATCATATTGATCAGTCCCGGCTCAAAACGGGCCTGTCCAAGCCCTGCATCGCTCCCTTGAACCTATCCAAATCCGTGCAGGATCAAAAAATCACCACGGTCTCCCTTGACTTTAGGGTGGAAACCACTTCATGGGCATTTTGGGATTAGAAACAAGTGCCACGCTAGTAGTAACAAGTGCCTTACTAGTAGTAACAATGTTTGCTAGTAGAAACAAGATGCCACCTTGGCTTTTCTTCGGAAAGACGGCTGTTCATATACCCCGAGTCTTGACGAACACGCACCTGGTCGTTCGAGGGTCCCTCCTCCATGTTTTGAAAGAAACACAATAACGGAAGAAATAAACACGGAAAAACAAAAAACATAAAGAAATAAATACGCACAATAAAAGAAACAATGCAAAAAAAAAACGGAAAAACAACCATAAATAAATACATAAATACAGAAAGAACGAGCAAACAAAATATATAAATACATGAAGAAAGAAGGAAGAAAGGAAGGAAGGAAGGGAGGGGAGGGAGGGAGGGAGGGAGGAGGAAGGAAAACAATATATATTATAGTAACTATATATGATATAATATGTGTATTTATATATATATATAATCAAAATTCCGCCAGTCACAGAGTCACCCGCGTGGGCTGCCTTGTTTTTGAAGCCTGTAAACAGCACACTCCGTACCAGCCAAGGGGTTGGCCATTGCGTAAAGCTCGGACTTCCCAACTTTCCCTGGAACAAGGTTTATCTTTGGATTTGGGTGGGGAAACCTGAAAAACATTTAAAGCTTCTTTTCGCGTTCGGACTCCGCCTAAAAAACACCCGCATTTTTTCGGCAACACCGCTGGCGTGGCCTTGCTGGGCGTTTTGATGTAGTCCGGAATGGGCCAGGGGGGCTCCCCGTCCAGGGTCGGCGCAGGCAAGGGCTCGGTGGCTTCCGCATTGTATCGGTTGGACCCAGTGTTTATGCCTGGGCTCGGTATGCTCGGTTGGCCCAAAGAGGGCAGGACGGACTGAATTCCCAGTGCTACAATATCAGAAAAGGATGTGGGAAAAAGGAGAAAGGACAGTTGTATGCATGTGTACAATGGTGTGAAAAAGGAAACCTGTCTTTGAGCGTGCCCGATGTTTTTCATATTTTTTATTGTCCGGTTTCTTCAGTCTGTATATTTCCTAGTCTCTGCTTCACAGAGAGGTCTTGTTGACGAATCAAACTGGTTCGCACCTTGAGAAGAACACTCAGTGCTTGCCGTGCGGCACTGGCAAACATGATTACATGGCACAGTTAATTCCAACTTGTACAGTTTGTACATAGTTTGTACATGTGTGGGCCATTGTCTACGGCTACGGGTGTTTTATTTGGGCTGGCTGCCATTATCGATTGTGTCGTCGTTTCAGTGCCTGGTTTTCAGCATCCATGTCGCACAAACAACGATACTGCAACACAACACTCGCCGATGTCTTCGTGGGGACATATATAAGATGAAACGCATAGAATAGGATTGTCCATGTGCATTGTTAACGTGTTATTTTCTTGCGCAAATTGGTTTACAGCAAAAATGATTTTTTTCTGGCAAGACCGACATGGCCCAAAAATGACATTATTGTGTGTTGTTGCAAATGTCTTTTCAATACTCTCTCACACGTGAATGCTAAGTTAGCTACGTCCTTAAAACACAATAAATAATAAACGTTGAAAACGAAACTAAAAGATCGTTCAGTCAATCGGTCTATCTCACAGCCCGCTTCCAAGCCTAATCACCTGCTAAACAATGAACATAAATGAACACATGGGTGTACAACTGGGTGTACACAATTGCACCTGCGCACCTGCTAAAAACACCTGCGACCACACATTGCTTGCTAACACATTGGGCGACTAGTCATGGCGGCTACGTCGTCCTACAGGTCCGAGGTGTCCAAGCGGCCAAAGCAGCTGCCATTCCTTGCGGTCTGAGCTCGAGTCTCGACCGGGGTTTGATTGACCACCTGAATTAGACCATGAAATGGTCCACATGACACATCCACACTACTGTATTCTGTATTCGGTGGGGTGAGTGGAGGTCCTCCCAACAGCAAACTTGGAATTTCAAACGTTGGACACCTCTGGACGTTGAATTTGGGCCGAACGCCGAACGCTCTTTGGTCCAACACTCAAACAGCTCGCTAGAAACAAAGGGCATCGCTACTAGGAGCAAGGACGCTACCAGTAGCTCCTGGCCTTACTACTGACTAGTGACAAGAAGCTACTAGTAACAAGGACAGCCGTCATCTCCATCGTCTGAGCACTTCGCATGGTCGGAACAAGAAGAGCATGTGACTCTTTCTTCATCAATCTGTTCGTGTTCTGAAACCCATGTTTATCTTGTTTGGGCGATCTGTTCGTTTTCAGTCCCCAAGACACACGAAGATAAGAGTCTGTGTGCGTTCTCATATTGTTAGCCTCTCCAAGCCCTCTCCATCTACGGCGAAACCAAGTCGACGTCCAAGCGTCTGAACCTGGAAGGATCCAGAGCACATGGCATTCTCCTTCCCTGCACTAATGGAGCGCAGCATCACTCGGACGTCCAACGTCCGCTGTGAGCCAGTCTCTCCTGACATGTTGGGACATGTTGGGCACCGGTAGAGCTGTTTAAACATTTGAGGACATGCTTGCTTCTTAACTGTTGATTCTGTAAAATGAATATTTATATATATATATATGTGAATAATATACTTTAATGGATCTTTACAAACAGAAGGCATGATGGGGGTCCATTGACCTTCACGGGGTGCATTCTATGCAAATGCATCTGTATACAAACATTCACAAAGACTTGCTCTTAGGTATATTGCTGGCAAGCCCAATGACTATATCAACGCAGCTTCGTGACCGTTTCGATTGGTTCATGGTTGCATGCGAACGAACCACCTCCGGTGTATCAGAATCCACATCAGCTGGGTCTGACCACCGTCCTCTCACCTGTCCACCGTCATGCGATGCGAAACGCCGCGACGGTCTGGGCGCGACCGTCGAAAGCCAATGCTTCGACTGAGACCGCTGCGACTGGTTCAGATTTGAGCAGTTTCAACCACAGTGGGTAGATACTCCATACATCCCTACAGGTCTTACAAACATTTCACTGGATCCGGTCAAGGTCCTTGGACTGGGCGGAAACATCTGCAAACGTCACCAAGACGTATGCACCGACTAGCGTGACGGATGAAGCCGAAAACCGAACTCCACGGTTCCCAAAGAGTCTACGATTCAAAAGGACTGCAGGAGAGGAACAGATATGCCCTCCTTAGACTCATGGTTACGTGGATGGCATGGTGTGACCAAACAGAATGACCATGCAATCCGAAGACCAAACAGGTGGGGTTCATTCCACGTAGTGAATCACTATTTCAAGGAGTGGATTCACTACGTGGACCATGCTTTCAACCGTTGACCCTGACCGTTCACCGTTTGGGTGAGGGGGAATCACACAGACCCGGCTCTCGCCCAGCGTGCAACTTAAAGCCCATGGGGTGGGGGTCTCTGGTCTCTTTGGAAGACTTAAGACATATGAAGAAATATACCACCCAAGTGGATCTGTTGAGAAAAAGCATCATGCGGTCTTGTCTCATCCTCGGATCTACAAACGTGGCAGAAATTGGGCAAGCATATGCAGGTATCCTCCATGACTATCTACATCTGTTCCTGCTCTACTGGAAACAAATCTCTGTCTTTCTTCATGTATTCCTTTGGATGTGTCGTTTCGCCAAACCTCATTGGCAGCGGTATCCGGTCCTTTGTCATCTTTGTAGTAATTGCTGTAGGAGAAAAAGGCCAAAAAGGCCTCAATTGGAAAGTGCTGCAGCTGTTGGAGGGGCGAAGTTGACGAGTGAAAAACACAAAACACGGGGCCTACAGTATCCTTTTGGGCTGTTGCCACGTATGGTAGAAAGAAAACTAAACACGCCCATCAAAATGGTGACCAAAAGGCAACAAGGAGGGGTGAACACTGGTCCGATCCGGCCACCATTTGCCAGTTTGTGAAATCGGGCGAAAGGTCAGTTACCCTTGTACTCGGAACCATCCCCAGTTCCATCTCATCCAAACCTCGCCAGTTCTCCTGGTACCCCTGAAAAAGAAACAATAAAACACATAGGTCACTCGACTGTCCGATGCGTTGACATGCCCATGTTTACCATTTGACTCTATTTGTCAGGTCCATGATCCGGTTCATTGGGTCATTGCAACCATCCACCGGTCATGACACTCAGAGGTTGGATGTGCCATGGATGTCAGGACCAGTGCAAGTCTGAGGTGTAGTAGTATTTCAAGTGGATGAGTAGTAGGTCACTGTTTTGCCACTAAGATCAGGTGTCTTGGGACCCTGCCGTTTCCTAACATACTCCATGCAAAAACAAACACCTCTTTGCATGCCTGTTCATCCCTCCCATTTGTACACTCCCAAGCATGTATGCATCCCTTCAACGTTTTCCTTCCCCAGCGTGATGCATTTCATGAAGTTTCACCTACCCCGCGTAATTCTGACCCATCTGACCCTTTTTCTTCCCAGCTGCTCCATGCTGCTCAAGTGGCATGTCCCATGGGTTTTTCCCCTTTTCCCCAGATCAAGTTGGCATCGAAGAGTGTGACGGTGGTGCAACTGTTGGGAAAAGTATCTGCAGTAGGAGCGAAAAGCAGTGTTCGTCTCATGTTGATCAGGTTTCGTCTCAAGATGGGCCAATATTCCCACTTTTTCACCTAGTCAACTCAGTTCTGCTGAGCACAGGGGTGCAGTACTATGGGGCTCTCTAAGTCAAACCCCAATGATTGCCATATGATGCTCTGCATAGTTGTGCAAAACGGCGCTTGGAAGATAATTTTGTACATATACTTTTGGGGACGCCTTTGGCACTACCAAGTCGTCCAAGGCCTTCAAAGATTAATTTCTGCGAATTCTACGACTTGGGTAGGACATATCACATGTGGCCTGCGAAAAATATGCACCTGCCCAAGTGGCCTCCCCATTGCCACCTGAACAATTTGGGGGAGAAAAAACACGGGCATGTCTTTTTTGTAGTGAAATGTCTGGTCTCTGCAAGAAAAAGTCAAGCGTATCATTCTGTACGGAGTTGAGATTCCGCAACTTTTTTGATTAGAGCAAGTCGCAAAGGGGTCTTCAGGCATCCCACTGCAAAATAAACACTGTTTCATACCGCTATCCATTCGCAGGGCAGACTACCACGCAAAGCTCTTGTAGAATGAATGGTCTTAGGAAGGGTGCTCTTGAAAATCATGGGTTCCTTAAAAAGTTTCACCTGTTTCACAAAAATTATCGGAAAATAAGTTGGCTTCTTCAGGCTGAACCCCAACCCCTGAGCCATGAAGATTTCCTGACCAAGACAGCAAGGCCCTGACCAAGTGAAAGGATAGTCCCGTGGTATGCCCGGGAGAACAAGGAGAGGGAGAGGTGCGACGTCTTGTTTGCGGGCTATCACTTTGTAGCGGGAGACACGTGACCAAATTAATCTGTATTGTACTGTACTGCAAGCTTTCTTGACAAAGCCCATGTGAACCTCAGAAGTTTCCAGCAGAGGTAGTCAAGCTGGTCAAGGAAGAATCAAAGTAGAAACCAGCCAAGGAATGCTTGAAGCAAGTATCATGCCCTCTGAAGTTCATCTGAAGCAAGAAACATGAAAACTTAAGATAGGGCGGTGGTGCTGTCATAGGAAAGGAAGGGACCAAAAATAGGAACAGGTTTGTAATTGCAAACGTTTGGAACTTGTCCAAGCAAGGTAATTACAGTAAGTGTTTTGTGGTTGCATATCATTTTGCAGCCAGGTGTGTGCTGCTGCAGATGTTGCCTGGTCTTACGTGGCGTTCCTTGCCTGACAGGCTTCTAAACTCTAAATGATTCTTGAACAACGTGAAAGCTCAACAAAATGGCAGGACCACCCCCTACTGCGAGATCACAAGTAGCCGCTAGCCGAATCTTCCTTCTACAAAAGGCCGTGGCTAAAGACACTATGTCAACATGCCCTCTTCGCTGACAGTTTGTTTGAAGTGACTTCCTTAGTAGCGACAACAAGGTGTTGCTCTTCTGATGACTTGAACCAAACCACCACGTTCCATGTATACATAGACAGATAAATGACTCATCAGCCTCGAATTTGGATTTGTCCGGCATACATCACGCTCTAAAGTTTCTAAACGAATCTAACATAAAGTCTTATACACCCACATGACATGAGCCCTGAAAGAGAACACACAGTCTAGCAGATGTGGGGATCCCACCAACGTTAAAACGGACAACCATCATAGAAACATCATACAATACAGGCCAACGTGTCAACGTCGACCGATCGGCTACCCCCCCCTGTCCAAAGGATCGAACGCACAAGTGTTGAGATCCGCCAGAAACGCTGAGTCGCTTGGTTGATCTATGTGAAGGTCGCAAGCTCTTTGAAAGGTCAATGGATGCCGCAAAGGTCATGTGATCGGTTTTTCGGGATGATTGAAGTGACATCAATCGAAGTCCATAAAATATACATCCCAACAGTCCTCACGATTCCTCCATTGAATTGCACTTTCCTTGCATAACTCTTGTTCACTTACTCAAACAAAATCTCGAAGTTTAACCAGATAAACAAATGTCAAACAAAACATCTAAGTGTATCGAGGTAAAACTTAGACGCATTGAATGACAAAGTTATTGAAATTGGTGCCTGGAGCTTTCTGATTAGGGGGCGCTGCATACCTGTTTTGGAGGAAGTATGCTGGGTCTCTAGTTCCTCTAGTTGTCCAGCATTTCTAAACAGGTGCGTAAAGGTACTCTGTGGAGTCTTGGCATTGTTTAAACTCTTCAGCGAGGAAACATCTCAAGAACCAAGTCAAGGAACCAAACAAAGACCAAGCGCAGGTCACCGCCAAAGGCACGCAGGCGAAAGACAAATTGGAACCTCAGTCCAATGCAGGAGAGCGGGACTTTCAGTATGACATCCGGCAAGAAAACCCGGGAAGTTCAAAAATGACACCTGGCTGCCAATTTACTTTTCCAAGAAGCTTAGTAAGCTCACAATACCAGGGGTCACAAGGCTTGGCAGCAACAGTAACTTCCAATGACACCCCCCAAACAATCCATGTATATATGGAACAGTTACCTAAGTTATATACCTACATTGGGGTCTTAAATGGGGTAAATGTATCTAACTATTCTATCCATGGATGGTCTGGGCCCGGTCAGTTTACGAACGGCTCGACGATGAACGGCTCCCGAGGTTCCAAGGGCGGAGGAACACACGAAAACCAGTGACCAGTGACGTTTTTCCCCATATGTGCTGTTTCCTGTTTTTGAAAGGTTCTCTTTAAGATGTTTAAGCATCTGTTACCATACAGGTGTATACATGTGTGAAATGGGTGTGTGTATCCATGATTGTTTGTCCCATATGTGTTTCATTTGAGTGACATAATGTTTTTTTTTGTTTAACTGTGTCATTAACGTTGCTTCATGCAGGTGATTTGCAAAAGAAGGACCATGATAGCTTTGGTCCGGCCGGTTGATTGCTTTTTGAAGTGTACCAGGCATTCTCTCGTCTACGTGATATGAAGCTCTCCATTTACAGGGAATAGGAACAACACCGTTGGAACCCTTGGCCAAACATTTCTTGATTCGCATCCACTAGTTGGATCTCTTGATATTTGGTGCTGTCAAGGTCGAGCATCATGCCGCCCAGTCAAGGTTGATCATACAAAATACCTGAAACCATCCAGATCGAGTACTGCACGACCTGCTTGAAACCATGTTCCGTTCGGAGCTGAGCTATGGAGGGTCGATGCAGCTCGGAATACACCAGCCCCGTTCGTAGCGTTGCCCTTGGCTCCGTTCGTAGCGCTCTCATCAGGTGTTGAGTATGAGTATGATCAACTACTGTAAACAGTCCAAGAAGCCGGGGATGTCGCAGGTCTTCCAACGCTCCCCCGTGGGTGTCATCACGATCTTAAAGCCTGGCCGGTGATCTTTCGAAGCGCAGGGGAGAAAAGACATCAGGCGTTCAGCGCATTTCTTGAAGCAAATTAAATCTTGGACCATATATCAATAGTTCTCATATTTCTCACAGTTCTGAGCTCAATATGTCGCATGGTCCCATATATCAAATCAATATGCGCTCAATAGTTCTCACAGTTCCACAGCCTCTCTCAGGGTCAAAGCTCAATATCGCATGCGGATGGGAACCGTAGTCACGGACCAAGACTTGCGGGGGTCTTGGTTCTATAAAACGTTGACCCACGGACCAAGTGTCTAGGCCATAAAACATGCAGGGAATGCTTCTGAGATGGAACCCATATTATTGATGATTCTTGATGGCAAAACTGAGTTGATAATTGTTTGAAAGCGCAACTGTCGTATTGCTCGCAATTTGGTGGACACTGGCCATTCCAGTGTCCACTAAGGACAGCAGCCAAAGGTTCAAACACACCAGCAAGAGCTGGATGAGTTTGTAGGAAGCGTCGACCTTTTTTGAGCACCCAATCTCGCAAGTTGTGTCTGGCCACCCGAAAGCGCATCTCAGACTGTCCGGGACCCTCTCGCCATGTCGCATGTCGCCACCTCCAAAGACGGGATCGGTGTGGATGGTCGAGCTCTCATAGCACTCCTGGCTTCACGGGAGTCGTTGCCGCGAAGAAGTCGCGTACACGAAGTCGGCCAGAAACCAGCATCCGGTCAATCACACGGACATGCGGACCCGACGTCTGCGTAATTAGAGGGACATGGCTTTTAGGTTTCCATGTCAGTGCTCGTGGTGCAACCAGTACAAGGCCAAATTCCCGCGGCAAATTCGACAAAAGGACTTGGACACGTGCCATGCCATGGGTCAATGTGTATTATATATATATATATAATAACAATGTCATGTATAATCCCATTCCCAGGATTCCAGAGGAAAATGGGTCAAAATATATCAAAATGACTCGAACGCCCAAAAGCATTCAAAAGCAGGGATGAACCACAGGCAAGATTGCTCAATCGATCCATTCTTTCGGGTGAGGGACTTGGGAAGGCGACTCTGCATTAGAGCACCTGTATGGCTATCAAAACCTCAAACCTCCACCACAAAATAGATTCCAATGGATATGTTTCCCTCCCCAAAACTGTGTTTCGTAGGGTTTCGACCCTCCTGCAGGCCGTGAGCCAACATGAAAGACCACACAAATGAATCCTCAACATCCGGTCTTTGATGTTCCTGTCATTTTGTGTTCTACGGACTTTCAACCCACACGAAGATCTGCCGGATGAAGTCAGAGCCTCCCATGATGCCATCTTGGCACCTGAAACAGTGCAAGTCTCCTGAAAGCAGCCGGGTACTGTGCCAGGCTTCAGAGAGGGTGCTTCGTTTGCCGTGGCAGACCACACACAGTTGTTCTCCATATTAAGGTCCAGTTTCACGTTGCAGAACATGAACTCATCATCTCTGCCCATCACCCTGACTCCAATGACGACCAGGAACCTGGTGTCGCAGAACGCCGCAGTCCGGGAAGCACGGATTGACAAGCATTTGCGTGTGGAGGGTTTGGGTGTTGCGGCTTTTTAGACCCTACGGCCTCTTCAGGCATGTCTGAGCAAACCTCCTGTAACGTTCGATGAACTGTATGTTGAAATTGAGGAAAAAAATAGGGAAGAAGATGGAAGAAGTCCCCAGGACTGGGAAAAGGGA